GGGTTCAAGTGATTCTCCTGCCTCAGCCTCCTCAGTAGCTGGGATTACAGGTGCCCACTACCACACCCGGCTAATTTTTTGTGTTTTTAGTAGAGATGGGGTTTCACCATGTTGACCAGGCTGGTCTCAAACTCCTACCACAGGTGATCCACCTGCCTTGGACTCCCAAAGTGCTGGGATTACAGGTGTGAGCCACCGCGCCTGGCCAGGGCATATACTTACAAGGAAATATTCACCCTTAGAAGGAAATAAACTCTAACACTTTCTACAGCATGGATGAACCTTGAGGATATCACACTAAGTGAAATAATCCAAACACAAAAGGTCAATTACCGTATGATTCCACTTCTAGGAGGTACCTAGAGTAGTGAAATTCATAAAGACACAAAGAGCGGAGGTTGCCAGTGGCTGGGGGAGGAGGCAATGGGGACTTATTGTTTAATGGGTATGCAGTTTCAGTTTGAGAAGATGCGTTCTGGAGATGGAGGTTGGTACTGGTTGTACAACAATGTGAATGTACAAAATGCCGCAGAAGTGTATACTTAAAAATAGTTATGAGGGTAAATTTTTATGTTATGTACGTCCCACCATAAAAAAATAAAACATTTAGGACAATCACTTTATAGAAGCTCTAAGAGTAAAGAAAAAAAAATTTAACTATGTTGCTAGGAAACCATACCTTTAGCTTGAAACCTCTGTCCAGGTAAAAGTTGAGATTCTGGAACCTATGAGAGAATATTTGTTAGAAAAAAAAAAACACTGGTTAGCTTTCTTACTCACATTCATGTTGCATATGCGATTTTTGTAACAGTAGCAGATGCTGTTAGGATGGGCTCATTTATTAAGTTAGAAAGAACAGGAGCACAGAGGGAAAAACCTGTCGAGGTGCATCCTGCCCTGCTCAGCCAGTGACAGGGCCCTTTACCACTTGCTGTGGGTGGCAGGAAGGGAGCAAGGTTCTGGGCAAGGGCTGCTAGGTGCTCACCTCATCCTAGCTTCTCCTCTTATTTGGTGACAGAACCCTAATATTATCTGGGGTGGCAGTTTGCCCAGCTCAATGAGTGTGCTTCCAAACTCTCTAGCCCTGGGCAGAGGGTGGAGGGAGTTTTGGTCTGCAGATCAGTTGGGCAGGGCTTCGCTGTCAGCTCCCCTTTTCCCTTGCCTCTTTCTCTCCCCCTAGAAACAAGTGAAGGCTGGAGTCTTCACATAGAAACCAAATAATCAGCGGCAGGAGGATGGAGACGGAAGTGGCGGGACCCTGGTGACTTGGTGGAGTTGCCGTCCCGGCCCGGGACTGCCCATCCAAGGCTTCCCCAGCTGTATAAAATTGCATGATCAGGTCTCTGTCCCTGGAGGCTGAGAGCAAGTCCCATTCCATCCAGGCTTTCTTGGGCTGACCCTGACTCCATCGCAGGGACAGATGGCATCCCCTGTTATTTCAGTGGGGAGGTGAGTTATTGGAAAGGATTTGGTGGCACAAAAGTCTACCTCAATTACCTTTAAAATCAAATTCCTTTTTCTCACAGTGCCGCGTGAGGCTCTGTGAGGCCTCTGGGCCTCTTGTAAGATAGATGCTGTTAGAGGCCTATACCACAAGCCATGTAACTTTTCTGTTTCTCTTTGATTAAAGTGGCTTCATAGAATGGGACCAAAACAGTTTGTACTGAAATTTAAATTTCTGATGAAAGCCCATAAAATCTCCAGTTCAGTGAGGCAGGGAAAATTACTACATTGTGGTACCAGAAAAACCCATGGCTGCATACTATCCTTCAAATGTTTATGTCAGGAAGTTTTATGTTGATTTTTTAGTCATTCAGATTTGCATAATTTGGATATATGATCTATTTTATGTGATTTAGAGGAAATAACTAGAAAACCAGAAACTAATTACATCATTTTAAAAGCAGCAAGCTGATTTTTCAAATCTCAAAAAGCCCTTAACTTACAAACATTTTAATATGCTTTTTACAAGACCAAAACACATATATGCAACACATATACCACTGCTCTAGATTTTTCCTTAAAATGGCTTTTTCTAGAATGTTGTTGAATTTGCATCAACTCTACCTCACCTTCTCATCAGATTCCCTTTTTAATCAATCCATAGCATGCAGTTTGGCATATCTGGCCAGGGTTGAGAGTGTTGGTTATGGCCATGGAATAAGGCCAACCTAACTGGTTCATGAGGCGAGGGCATCTGTGACCACAGAAGGGAAAAACTGAAATACTTATGGTATACAGGAGGGAATTGAAAGACTTCAAGCACAGTTACTACTTCTGCTTTCAAACTTGATTTTTAATCCCCTTTACTTTGAACAAGAGGAAGAAAATGGTGCATGGGTTTGTACACTATTCTCCTCTACTTTCCTGAATAAAGGACATCTTTGTTCATTTAAAAACAAAAAACAGGCTGGGCGTGGTGCTCACACCTGTAATCCCAACACTTTGAGAGGCCGAGGTGGGTAGATCACCTGAAGTCAGGAGTTCTAGACCAGCCTGGCCAACATGGTGAAACCCTGTCTCTACTAAAAATACAAAAATTAGCCAGGAGTGGTGGTGCATGCCTATACTCCCAGCTACTCGGGAGGCTGAGGCAGGAGAATCGCTTGAACTCAGGAGGAGGCTGCAGTGAGCTGAGATGGTGCCATTGTACTCCAGCCTGGGCAACAAGAGCAAATCTCTGCCTCTAAATAAATAAATAAATAAATAAATAGAGGCAAAATGAAAAAAACTTGCGTTTTAAAACATATAAAATCTATGGCATATGGTATGAGAAAAATCAGATCCTTTTTTGAGAACTCTGATGTCTATAAGAAAACTATTTGTGACTCTAATTTCTCTTATTTCACTATTAGTCATATTTATATATTATACGGTTTGATATCTGTATATACTTATGTAATCTTTTTTCACTGCCTGTAATCTGTAATAAGTTTTTAAATTTTATATTTATATTTATCACACATTTAAATGTATTATTCTTATACACTTTAAGTATATATATTTTCTTTTTTCTTTTTTTTTCACAGTAATGACTTTGCTTTTCCTTTTTTTATTATTATTATACTTTAAGTTCTAGGGTACATGTGCATAACGTGCAGGTTTGTTACATAAGTACATATATTTTCTATACATAAAATTACAATGCTAATTTATCCAGAAACATAATGTATGATAACTTAACAGCATGATATATCCACTCTTTATCTCCACTTCCTTTTTTTTTTTTTTTTGGAGACTCTCGCTCTGTAGCACAGGCTGGAGTGCAGCGGTGCAATCTTGGCTCACTGCAACCTCTGCCTCCCGAGTCCTTGTTCAAACAATTCTCCTGCCTCAGCCTCCTGAGTAGCTGGGATTACAGGTATGTGCCACCATGCCTAGCTAATTTTTGTATTTTTAGTAGAGACGGGGTTTCACCATATTGGTCAGGCTGGTTTTGAACTCCTGACCTCAGGTGATCCACCCGCCTCGGCCTCCCAAAGTGCTGGGATTACAGCATAAGCCACTGTGCCTGGCCTATCTCCATTTCTTAAGAAGACCGATGTTGATTTCTTCGTCTCAGCAATGACATGTGACTTTGATATATGAAAGATATTTCCTACCTTCAGGATAATGGGGACACAGTGAGGGGAGGGCAGGCGGAAAGCCTTGATAATGGGAATATATTTCTAAAACACCTGAGTATTTAAATACATGTCAGACTAGAGAAACTATAAAAATGCTTTTTTTTTTAAAGACAGAGTCTCACTCTGTCACCCAGGCTGGAGTGCAGTGTGGTGATCTCAGCTCACTGCAACCTCTGCCTTCCAGGTTCAAGCAACTCTTCCGCCTCAGTCCCCTGAGTAGTGGGGACTACAGGTGCACACCACTATGCTCGGCTAATTTTTGTACTTTTAGTAGAGCCGAGGTTTCACCATGTTGGCCAGGCTGGTCTCAAACTCCTGACCTCGTGACCTCCCAAAGTACAGGCATGAACCACCGAGCCTGGCCCAGAAATTCTCAATAATGGCATTTGGGCTAATCTGGAATAAGCTGTTTCCAGCTTAAATGCTGCAGAATTCCATAGAAAGCAGGCTATGGGCAATATACATGTATAGAGTGAGAGAATACATATATAAAAGATATAAGCTTTGAAATGAAGTAGATTTCAGGTTATAGTTGTTCAAAATTCTGTTCTTCCTTTCCATAAAATGCGATGTTATTTCTTTCTTTGTCAAATATTTCCAAAATACACCAAATAGCACATCACTCATAAAATATTTCTAGTCCAGCTATTTCTCTAAGGTTAGGGGGCAGAATTAGAGGTGTTTTTCCTTAATATTTTAATTCACTAAAATAAAAGATGACAACTTCAGGATCTGTACTATTTTGAATTAATTGAAGGAATGACAAGACAGGATAATGTATGATACAACAAAAGACACATTAGTTCCTATTTTAGTTTCTGACTTGCATCCCACATTTCCTTTTGCTTCTAAACCACTGAGCTAATCTCACTACATATCTTTTTTTTTTTTTTTTTGAGACAGAGTCTTGTTCTGTCACCCAGGCTGGAGTGCAGTGGTGCTATTATCTTGGCTCACTACAACCTCCACTTCCCATGTTCAAGCGATTCTCCTGCCCCAGCCTCCCGAGTAGCTGGGATTACAGTTGCCCGCCACCATGTACAGCTAATTTTTGTATTTTTAGTAGAGACAAGGTTTCGCTGTGTTGGCCAGGATGGTCTCAAACTCCTAACCTAGTGATCCGCCCACCTCAGTCTCCCAAAGTGCTGGGACTACAAGCGTGAGACACCACGCCCGGCCTCTCACTACATATCTTGAGTCACACAAACCTATATATATATAGTGGGGTCTTTGCACCAGTAATATGAAAGATGGCTTTCTTCACACATAAGAATGTGACCAAAGGCCCCTTTATTGCACAATGAGTGGCCTAGTTATCCCTAAAATGTTTATACGTTCTTCAAAGGACTAAGTTACAAAGCATATCAAAAATTATTTGAGGACCAAGTAATCAGTGGGATTTTTTTGCATGCACATATTACAGATTGGTGTTTAAATTATGCAGCCATGCTTTGATCTTGCTGTGGGAATTCTCCCCTGAGACTATCTACTTACTGGCCTTTGCTGTTTATTGGACGTTGGATCTCTCACATAAATAGTTCTTTCAGTATTACGTACTGGTTGAGTCTTCAAATCTACTCCATCGTCATTCAAGCTGTCTTTCCCTTTTGATTTTATACATCCCATATTTCCTGTTGAAATATAAAAGCAACAACATTGTTTTACCATTCTAGAACTGCTTCAAGTCATCAAAATCTCTCCATTAAAGAGTAGAAAAAAATATACTTTTATTCTTTATCATATATAGATTAATAAACTCAAATGTGAATACTATTCCCAAATAGGTTTGCCTGTCCATTAATTCACTCAACAAATATTTATTGAGCATTAATTTTCCATCACCCAGACCAAATTCAGCTCTAACTCTGTTCGTATTCTTGTGGTAAAGATGTGTAAAGACTTGATGACAGAGGACCCACAGGATCTAAGAAAGGACATGTAATTCAGGCAAGAGGAAAAGGAGGTGGTCAGGGAAAGCTTCCTAAAGGAAATGCTCTGTGAGTTGAAATGGGAGGGATGGCAGCCAGGTTGCAAAGTCAGCAAAGAGATTCCAGGAAGAAGAAACTTCATATGCAACCACCATGAGCTCAAGATAACACAGCCCCTTCCGAGAGCTAGATCAACCTGATCTCTCCAGAAAATGAGCTCTACCTACAACACTAAACACTGTAGTCAACGAGCAGCTAGGGAAGGTCAGGAGTCAGGGCCAGAGAGGGAGGCACATGCTGGATGCGATGCTGAGTGGTTGATTTTTTACTCTGAAGACAAGTGACACATCCGATCTGCAGTGTGCAAGGTGGAGTGGGGTGGGGGGCCTTGAGGCTTCAAGGGCAGGTGATGAAGAGCTAGAATCTATAGAACCCAGTTCCAGCTAAACATAGCTAGGGGTCTAGGAAGATGGCCTGACTTCCCTCAAGACTGGAAATGAAATGAGGAAACACAGTTACGGGAGAGAAGATGCTTATGAAAACATTCAGATGATCAAATCCAGTAGGGCTACCCAGTAAGCTACTTGAGTCAGGAAACCAGGAGTACTAGTGGAGGTAAAAGCAAAATGATGGCCTCTGCAAGCCATGCTAGGACTGTGGAGGAACGCCACCATGGCGAGAAGGGGGCTAGTGCCTGACCAGTGCAGAACAACACACGGTGCACATCTAAACACCAACTCTGTCATCCAGTGATTCCATTAACGCAGGACGGCTGAGCACTACACACGCACTCTGGGGACGGCAAAAATCACCATTTTGAACATTTGAATCAGACACAGTTCTTGTCTTACAGTATAGCCTTGGGGTCAAATCTATGCACTAAAAGCAAAACAGCCGGGCGCGGTGGCTCACGCCTGTAATCCCAGCATCTTGTGAGGCTGAGGCGGGTGGATCACAAGGTCAAGAGATGGAGGCCATCCTGGCCAACATGGTGAAACCCCGTCTCTACTAAAAATACAAAAATAAGCTGGGTGGGGTGGTGGTCGCCTGTAGTCCTAGCTACTCAGGAGGCTGAGGCAGGAGAATTGCTTGAACCCGGGAGGTGGAGGTTGCAGTGAGCCAAGATCACACCACTGCAATCCAGCCTGGGCGACAGAGCAAGATTCCGCCTCAAAAAAAAAAAAAAGAAAAATCTCATGAACTTCATTAGAAGGTGGTTCTCACCGAATAGATTCTCTGGACACTGTCCGGGAAACTCTTTTGGGGCACAGTGGGAGCATGGTGCTCCCCATGTGATGTGTAATTCTGAAGCACTGCCAAATCTGTGCTCACGGCCTAGGGCTTAGAGTTAAGTCTAGAGGAAGCAGAGATGACAGGAGTTTGGGGAAGGGGGAGAGGTGGTGTGATTAGGCAATACCTCGTGGGGGAGGAATTGTGCTAAGAAACCTCAAGAGCTCTTCTGGGAACTCGGCCCTCTCTCTCCCACAGCGCTGCCACGTGCCCAGGCCTGCGTTGTCCTGAAGGCTTCCAGTTGGTCCAGGAACTTCGACTTGTTTATCATTTCATTAGTTGAGGTATGAAGCCTCTAAAGAGCAGCCACACCTCTTTCTGAAACTAGCGAGCTGCAGTTCCCAAAATAAAGGGGAAGCAAGTACTTCTTTGATTCAAAACAGCACATTTTTTTCATAGGCTAAAGTTTCTGAAACGGCCATGGGTTTAGAGTTGATCTCTAAGTTAAGTATGGGAGTTCTTTTTTCACCAGTCTCATCCCTCCCACGCCCCGCCACCCTCCCCGAAAAAGCGGTGTTTAACTCATCATCCCTTAAAATCATGCTTTATAAATGGGCAAATAGGTTAATAGCAGCGCAAGGACCCTGTGCACACCGTGAGCTCCCGGGCAGGAGCCCTGCATGGGTGCGGCCAAACCACAGAGCACCGGGCCGCTCGATCCAGCTCCTGACCGAGCCGCGCTGCAACCAGGGCACAGGGAATCCCCCAGCACGCCCGGGCGGGTGGCGCTGCCCCACCGCGTCCCTGCGGTTCCCCTGCCCTCGTTGCTTGCTTCAGCGTCCCCTCGCTCCACCTCTCTCTCTCTCTTTCTCTCTCTCTCAGATCCTACAGGAATGTTATCGCCCCAGACAGGTCTCACTCTTGTCGGGTTACCACCCACATTCCATCATGTATCAGTTTATTTAGGGTCAGCTCCCTAAGCTAGCATCTAAGCTGATTGGGACAGCTTCCCTCTACTTTGCTCACTGCAGTACCCCCAGAACCTAAAACAGCCCTGCTCCACGCAGGTGCTCAAAGAGTAAGAATAAACGCACTTTGGGAGGCCGAGGTGGGCAGATCGTGAGGTCAGGAGTTCGGGACCAGCCTGGCCAACATGGTGAAACCCAGTCTCTACTAAAAATACAAAAAATTAGCCGGCATGGTGATAGGCGCCGGTAGTCCCAGCTACTCGGGAGGCTGAGGCAGGAGAATCACTTGAACCCAGGAGGCAGAGGTTGCAGTGAGCAGAGATCACACCACTGCACTCCAGCCTGGGTGACAGAGCCAGACTTGGTCTAAAAAAGTAAAAATAAAGGATGGAGGAGCTGTGGCTGGTGGGCTTGGGACTCCCACATGCCCATCAATACCCCTCCTGACTACGGTGAGAGAGGAGAAGGAAAGGAGGCAAAACCCACCTGGGTCTGTTGTTCTAAAACAGACAGAAACCTCTAAAATAACTTCTAGTTTATGGGAAATACAGGGAAGAGAGGAACAAGATAATCAGAAAAATTCATAATGTGCCATTTTCTACAGAAAACTTGCCTGGATACTTCAGCTAGAGGGAGGGATGGAACCATTCCATATCAGAGAAGACCCAAGAGACAAGGTACTAACCTTGATGGAATCTTGGGGGCTTGCGGGGGACACACAGCTGTGATACGTGACAACTGGGGAAGTTGAAATTGACTTACACATGAGATTATGATATCAGGGAACTGTTGTTGTGTTTTGTAAGCGCAATATGATGGTACTGTAGTTATTCAGGAGAACATCCAGTGTGCATCAGATGCAACTGAGGCGGGTGGGGGTGAGGGGTCATGGTGTCTGCAACTTTCAACACTTCAGCCAAAATGAGAAGGGAGAAAAGGAAGGGACAAATGTATCAAAATGTCTTAAAAATTAGTGATTCTAAAGAAAGTGATCTCTTTTTCTGTAGATTTGAAATTGTCAAAATAAAAGTTGGAGGGTAGAAAATAAGAGGATATGATGGACAACTGTACGCCAAAAAAAAAAAAAAAAAAATCAAGATGGTAGAAACCCCAGTCGTGCACAGGAAGGCAGGGGATGCGTTAGCAAAGTGCGTGGCTGGAGGCTAACTGAGGTGGCATGCCAGGTAGTGCTGGCTTTACTGCATTCAGCAGGGAGCCTCGGAACGTTTTCCTTTTCCTTTTCTGTTCTTTTCCTTCCTTCCTTTCTTTCTCTTCTTTTTCTTTTGAGAAGGGGAGAGGTGGGGGTCTTCCTGTGTTGTCCAGGCTGGTCTCGAACTCCTGAAATCAAGGGATCCTCCTGCCTCAGCTTCTGGAGTAGCTGGGATTGGCAGAACATTTTTCCAACTGTGAAATGACATGTTGAGATCTCTATTTCTGAGCAGAAAGTCTGTAGGAAGTGTTTGGGGGAGAGCGAGCTACTGTAAGGAAATCCATCCCTTAGCCTCCAAAGGGGACAGAGGAAAAGATGGAGGCGATCGTACAAGGGCAGTGGTCTTGGGAAGAGGAAGGATGGAAACAAAAAGCGGGTGGATGTGGGTGGGGTGGCGACATCCAAGACAGGAAAATCGATAGATGGTCATTTATTTATGCTTATTTTCTCCCTGCCATTGTCATGGATAATTTAACATCAAATGTATGTACTGTAAATGAAAAAAATTAAAGCCATGTGGAGAGTTAGCATGGCCTCACTGCTCAGGCAGCGCCGATCTCTGCTCACAAAGTGTGTGGGGTCCCCCATTCAGACACTCTCCCACCAGAAACCTCCAGAGAGGTCCTCCATGTGACATGGGGATGAGCAACCCAAACTCAGACCAGGTCTTGCAATTCCTTATGCTGCATGAAAGTACCAGAAATGTAGAAAATACAATATACTCCTGACAAAAACTGAGAGTGGTTACATGTTCCAAGTGATATGAGCTACACTTTACAATGATTTCCACCTTAGTATTCTTCTATTACACATTTATAATGTACTGAGCATCTCATTTAATCCTTGAAGAAACCATATGGCCAGATGACTTTACAGAGGAGAAAACTGAGGCTCAGAAAGGTTAAATGACTGGCGCACAGCACAGCTGGGAGAGGTGGGGCTAGGACTCACACAGGAATGCGCTCTCAAGTCTAAGAAGCTAGGTCTACAGCCTGGGCTCTTACCACAATGGCTATTTTGAAATGCATGTTTCATCTATTTATTAACAATGCCAAACAGATTATTTTTACAGGCTATCTCTTTCTCAGAGAAAAAAGCTTTAAAATGTTTTACCACTAAAGAGTCAATAATGAAGTTAATAAAATAAAACCAGAAAACCAGAGCCAAGGCAATGAGAAGAATGCGAATGTGGTAACATTGTGGGGAACAGGTCTGCTGTAACTGACCTGCACATTTGCCCTGGGTGTTCTGGCAGGAAGGGCCAGGGACACCGTGAGTCACAGCAGGAGAGAGGAAGCAGACCAGGCTCCTGATGGGAATGTGTGTCCCCAACAGGAATTCCAAGTTTGCTTATAATGCACTTTATATCAAGTGCTGTGGATGATGTAGTCAGCAGTGCCTTCAAAACTATATTTTGAACAGTAAATAAAGACATATTTTATGGGTAGAGACTTCTGGTTAAAACAAGATAGTAACTGAGGCTTTGACATGCAAATACAACTCTAGGCTGTTCACTGCAAAAGTTTTACAATATGGTCTAAAGAGACACAAACGGCCAGGCAGCCTTTTGACTACAAAGCAACATCCACTGACCCATCCAGAAAATGTGAGGCTGGAGATACCTCTTTCTAAAAAGTCTTTCTTTCATTGGAACGAATACCCATTAGAGGTGGCTCATCTTTATTTAAGAGCCTTAGAATATTAGAAGATTGACCTTAATCCCTCTTTTATTTTATTTCCAGACTCTGGGACAATTTTTTGGTTTTTAAAAATCACTCTTACCTTGGCCAGGTGTGGTGGCTCACAACTGTAATCCCAGAACTTTGGGAGGCTGAGGCAGGTGGATCATCTGAGGTCAGGGGTTCGAGACCAGCCTGGCTAACATGATGAAACTCTGTCTCTACTAAAAATACAAAAATTAGCCGGGCGTGGTGGCACTTGCCTGTAGTCCCAGCTTTTCAGGAGCCTAAGGCAGGAGAATCGCTTGAGCCTGGGAGGCAGAGGTTGCAGTAAGCCAAGACCGTGCCACTGCACTCCAGCCTGGGTGACACAGCAAGACTCCATCAATAAAACAAAACAAAACTCACTCTTACCAGAGGCAGTAGGGTTTTGGTTTCATAAAATCACTCTTACCAGAGGCGGTAGGGTGATAAACTATAACTCCTAGTTACGCCTCTGGTAAAATCTAGCAATGCCTTACCATTATCCAGCTGCTCAACAAAGATGCAATCTTGCATTGGAATTCCACTTCTCGAAATCTGTTCTTTAGATACATGCACTGGGGCACAAGGATGTTCCCACTAGCATGACTTATAGTAGAGACAATCTAGATGTCCTCATGAGGGGTTAGTTCTTTAAGTTAGAACAAAGTGACACATTATGAATGGGTTAAAAAGATTTGTGTATTTGGACATTCTTAAACAATCAAGAATTGCTGATTGAAAAAATTATATATACATATTTAAATTAGGCTGATGCAAAAGTAATTGCGGTTTTTGCCAATTACTTTTGCACCAACGTAATATATGTACACAACCCATATATATGTATGTATATTTAATGTCCACAGGAAAAAAAATCTAAGAGGACATCCACCATCTTGTTGGTTAAGTTCTAAAGTCCACTTGTGAGGTAAAAGATCCTGTATAGAAATTTTCTATTGAAATTCCTAAAGAAGACACTATACAATTCACAAAATATTCTGAAGTAAGGACTATGGGGTTGGATTGCTGAACTCAACTGCAGGGTTTATTGCCTAACTTTGCAATATCAACTGACTGGTCACACATCTAAAGCAAACGGAGTAGCTATAAATGTCTACGAGGGTCAGAGACAAAATACGTGGGGGTAGAAAAGGGATAAACACGTATGTGCCTACTTTGTCCTTGGTACTTTGTGTATGAG